ATAAAGGATAAAGCATATGCCGTTAATCAATCCCTTTTTGGGATGCGGCACGCATTCTACTTCCATTTGTACATTCGTAGTGGCGTTTGAATGCGATGTGGCCTATACAATGACTTGCGGGGGCCAGCCGATGTACAAGTCAGTGTTTTTATCCTCCCAGACAAGTCTGGTACCAATTAACCGACCCCGGAGGGATGGAAGGCTTGGTTGGCCCGGGCGACTCACGACCCAGGATTTGATCCCCGGACCGCTCGCGTGGTAAGCGTGCCACTTGCCACTACACCACTTCCGCCCTATTCTAATTAGCTTTGAATATGTGCAAAAGGTTAATTATGAGAAAGTTATGAGCGTTCAAATGTGAAAACTCGCGGAAGAACTGGACATTTGCAATAGTCAGGTTACCTTCTGGAAAGAAAATAATTTGAAGTATTTGAATTTTTGTATCCCCCATGCTTCTGTGGAAAGATATATATTTTTTTAAAGAAGAGACTCGTATCGTGACGTGATTACTGCACTGTTTAGTTTTTGAGTTTATAAAAAAGTGATAGGGAAGTTCGAAAAAAAAAACTCCGCAGTTTCCTGAAAGTAGAAGTCTTTACGATCACAACATGCCTGAAATCATGAAAAAAAAGTTGTAAATTACTTCTATTTAATGGGTGAAATTCCATTGCCCCCATTCATTCTCACTCTAAACAAAGCGCGCGGACTACCCTCTGCGCACCACTTCTTTTAAAAATGTAAAAGGACATAAATCGCTAATATAGTAGCTAATACAGGGGGTACCCTTCGGAGGAGAGAGAGAGTCGTAAAATTTTTGGAATTCGCGCAACGCAGGGTTGACCGTGCTCGGAGAGAGTCTCGCATATTGCCATCTCCAGGAAGCTATACACCACTCATCGACCAAAGAAATTATGTAGCAGCTGCAGGCCACAATGTAAGCTCTCGAGCTCGACGGTGATGAAAGATGACGTCATATTCTGAATACAGTGAGGGCAGTGGAGGAGCTCTGCTTCTGCTTATAGAGGGATATCCAAGGAATATACGCCTTGAAATTCCATCAACACGGGCGCCTTGCGACGAAAGGTTTGGTGACGTGAACCATTGGCGAAATGGTTGTTTTGCCCCTTCCCTGTACATACAAATAATTAATGTGAATGCTCCTTATGACCTGTATTTCCCAATTCAAGACGAATTCCTGTTTTCTGCAACTATCGTCAAGGATCGATAGAGATCAGTGTGAGAGCCCAATATTATTACCTTTATCGGAACTTGAAGTAGTAGAGCCCATCCTCTGTCCTATGAACTAACCATAAGAGGGATCACATGATCGAAGGACTCACCGACATTTTTCGGACGTCCTTTTTCCACACTAGCTGTCTTGTCTCCCTGTTTAGCTGAAGGTTCCACAGCATTGCTATCTGCAGCTCAATTACTTGCAGCTTCCCCTGTTCAATCCAATCAAAGACTTTTTTCATCGAGAAGTTCCTTGATCGTCTTCGAAATGTCTAACGATAAGAGGAATCGGATTGAGGAAGGCGGTTCATCGCAGGTGCGAAGGCCCATAGCCGCCATCTCGTTAAGGACCCTCCCGAATTACCAGACATCCGACCTGACATGATTTTCGTTCACTACGTGACAGCAAAAGATCTTTCAGGCTTGTCACAAGATATGATTTTTGCAAGACGAGGGTGATGGTCAGAAGCAGTTAAGAAGATGACACATTACATAAGCGAGTTCGTGGTCCAATTGGAACGAATTGTACAGTTGAGATTAACCACGTCCAACTTTTGAAAAACCGCATCATCATGAGTCCCGCTAGGAAGTTTCTCTTTTTGCTTTTGAGGTGGAGCGGCTGAAAGAGGTGGGGCTGTGTCGAGGCGTAATCTAGAGTTCCTTTTGCTTTCTCTTTCTTTTCCATACCATTTCCCTTCACTAGCTTCATAATTGAACGCCCTTACACACTCATTTGATCTCAAAGCTTGCCTCTAACAAATTCAGCCCAAACCAGTTCGGTAGACTTCTATTGTAGTTAAATACTTAAACAGTTTTTTTTTACCTTAGAATTGTTCTGTCCCGAAGTCTCATGTCGATCTAAATGTGTATTAAACAATGTGAGACTTCAAAATTTATTGCAAAAGACTCAAAACTTTCTACAAAAGAAATTGCAAAAATGTGTGTTTGCAAAAGTTTTGCAAAAGTTTAGGCCTTTTTGGCGAGCTTTCGGCGCTTAGCGCCTTTGTCGAGCCTGAAATG